ATATATATATATATATATATATAGTTGCTTAATTTACATTCTTGTTCGACCGTTTTCCTCATTTATTAAGCATTTATCATCATCAATATTCCAGCATCATCGTTATTATTATCATCATTATCATCGTATCATCATTATCATTGTTACATAGCAAGAGTTTAAAGATGTGCCTTACTTCGAAATACAATTAATTTTCCGTTTTACCACAATGACATATAATGTTCGAAGATCGAGTTTATAAATGGGATTTTTCCTTTCTTTTTTTTTTTTTCCTTCTTCTAAATACATAAAGAGAGATTTTAATTCGTTTTACATGTTGGCTTATTTTGTTTTCGCGTTCTCGCACGGATACTTCTCCTATCTCGTTTAATGTTGTTTCGTGGGCCCCTTTTTTATTATTTTGCATGTTTTGTTATTTCATTTTTCTTCTTTTTCTTTTACTACATATTACAACGAAAAAGCAGGCACGAGTTCAGACGCGCACCTGTTCTTTTTACGTCGGTCATTTTATTCACCGTTTTTTTTTCTTTCTTTTTTTTTTACGCAAGTTTCCACTTCTTTTGCATATATTTTATTTTTATTACTTCTGCGGTATTTCTGCTCTGTTGTGTTGTTTTTCTTTTTTCTTTTTTTCAATAATATGGATTTTCGTATATATTTTGCTTCCTTTTATTCATCCTTTATTTTCCCCCCTTTCCGTTTTTTTCATTTTTTTTTTTTTCATTTATATTCCGTATTCGTGGCTTTGCTTGGCTTCCGCTTCAATATTTAGTTACATTTAAATTATTTCATTACATATTTATTGCGTTACCTCATATCAGTGCAGCAGCAACTGATCGTTGTGTACCATCATGTTTTTTTATACATACGGTTATACATATATTATGTCTTTTCTTTTTTATCGTTTCATTTTCTTTTTTTTTTCCTTTTTACCTTGTTTCATTACATATTTTGTATTCTCCGGTTTGCATATATCAGGATGATCGATTTCTCAGAAAGAAAATCTACCTTTACACGAAAAGCGTAAAGTGGCATTTTTACTCTCAAATATTCATCCGTCGGATCTGAAACGTCTCTCTGCCTCTAGTGTAACATTATTACTCTTATCATTATTATTATTATTAATATTATCATTATCATTATTATTATTATGTTGGTTAGTTGTTCGTGAGCGATTTGCGTCGTTTTTAATTTTAAATTGCAAAGATGCACGGCGATCATTTTTCTCATCATTTTCTCCTTTTTTTTTTTTTTCATTTTTTATATACGTTGGTGCATATTTTATAATATATCATGTACTGCATTCGGAAAATAACAGGTGTATGAACGTGTATTATTAACTGAAAGTTGTTGAATGATAGCAATATTTGTTTCTATTTTTTTTTTTTTTTTAATTTACACAGTTCCATTCACCAGGGATTTTTTATTTCGTTTTATTATTTTTTTTCGTAAACATCATGGTATTTTTCAAATCGCGTTAGGAAAACTGTTTATTATACGCATACACTGGTAATAGTTCATATTGAAGCTGACATTTAATTTTCCCTCTTTTTTTTTTAGATATCCTGCCTATTTTCATGTTTTATTTTTTTCGGTTTTTATTTGTTTTTTTTAAACTTTTTTCTTTGTTCGCAAGCAACTCAGAACTTTGAGAGCTGTGGAGACACAGAAGAATTAATGAGATTTTTCTTATTAAATCACGGATGTCAAACATGTTCAATATATTATTCGTCTCTTCTAAAGCACTTTTTCATCTTTTCCTCTATGTTTTTTCCCTCCCCCCTTAAATCTCTTTTTTCATTCTCTGTACAATACACTTTCTATGATCTTAGTCATCCATTTCAACTCTCTCAGGCTCAGTTCAACCATCGCTCAAATTATATAAAGTTTCTCATTGTCTTAATGCATTTTTTTACGCAATAACAAATCTACAAAAATATAACATTTTTATCTTATCTCTCGTTATATTATTTCAATAAATGGTTTTCTCTCTCACAATCACTTTCTCTCTCGCTCTCTCGTTCGCTCTTTTACTCAACCTAAATTACCTCTGCACTTTAGACGCATATCCTTTTTCCATACCATTTTCATCTAATCCTTTCTCTGTTTTATATTTGCATTCCTTTTCCATAAATGATCGTGTTCTGTCGTGCTGTCTTGTATCTCTGTTATATGTGTATACTTTACTGATAAAAGAACCCACCTCTTATCCTTCAAACTCCAATGATCTTTGGTAGAATGTCGTTTCGACTATTCTACACATAAATAGTATTTTTCTTTTTTTCTTTTAACATGATGATCTCCTACATTGAACCGGTCCTTCACGCAGCAAAAGTGCGAACCTACCGGTCTCCTCTTTTATATACACCAACCTCGCACTCTCAATTCTAAACTATTCTTATGTACAATTAAAGAAGGGACACATCGTATCTTTTCGAAAATATGCTACGAAAGGCACGAATTTCTAAAATTTTAATGCAAAAAAGAGACAAGGATAAAAACGATAGAAAACACAAGTCTCAAAAAAAAAAAAAATTCTTCAAGCAAAATAAAGATATTTCTCTATGAAGCAACTGCGTTCTTTTTGTTGTTGTTGTTGTTATTATTTATTAAAATATAAATCAACCAAATAATGCAATTAGAATAACGCACAGTGTAGCATATTTTCCAAGCGACATCGGAAGACCTCCGCAAGAGTAACTCTTTCAGAGAACTTCGCCTTTTCTTTTTTTTTAAAATTCAAGCCGATTACTCTCGCAACTAGTCCGCCGTTGTGCCCACGAGTACATATCGTATCTCTTATCGTACATGGAAATTTGTAATTCGTTCAAAAGTCATTCATTCCTCTCTCCATCGACGCAACAGCAAATAAATATATCAATTCAGCCACGTACACGCGCGTACACATTTTCAACCTTCAATCTTATTTATGTATTATGTGGTACGCGTGTGTACGTGAACCGACACGCGTTAACATCCCACGTTTATATACATCTCTTATGTTTCTCTATATGTCGTTCTCATAGTACGATATTTTCTTTCACTCCCTCTCTTTCTTTCATAGCAAATTCTCACAAATAAAACAAGTATTATTTCACAACTCACGTAATCTCACAGACGGTGCATTTCGACATTCCACTGCATACATATATACATGCACACACGCACACGTACACACATATACACATCCATTCACAACTTACATATAATATACTTGGGAACCTCTAGTCTAAATTATATATAAATATATATTTTACCTATATGAAAAGCATCAGTCTCCATTTGCTAATGAACGTCTCAGTATCCTATCTCGCGTTATCTACAAAACATAGTAAAATCATCCGTGATGTACTGTCCAGTCCAAATTTTGTCCATTTTGTCCGTCTATAATGAGAATAAGATTATTCTACGTCTGATGTCTACGTTATTAGAGATCAGAGTACTGAGACTGTCAATGCGAGCATTTCATATAATACCGGAAAATATATATTTTCATTGTAAAAAAAATAATCACACTTCTTAAGAATTAAATACTTATAGCAGCTGACGACTTGTTCTCGTTCTTAGTAAAATTAGCGCACGCATACACTAATCAGTCGAGTTCATCTTTATGGTGATCCGAGCGGAGTAGCAGTAGTTTTAAAAACACGCTCGTGTTAGCACAAGCACGATTTCCTTGTATCTTTTTTTTTTTTTTTATATTTTCTTCTTTTTTCTTAAATCATGTTCGTTTTTACTCTTATCCTACACAGTGAATGGTACGTTTGGCAGTGAGGACATCGTATCGTGTATGTCGGAAATGGGTCTTGTCGTTTTACAATATCTTGACATCGCGTTAACGATGCTTTTTCTCCTACATTAGTTTAATTAGTTTGGCCCCATCAGAGCTTTAGACATTGTTGAGTAATTTTGCGCGTAACATTTGAAGAGTTCTCTCATCATCTTCATTGTGCGAAAATTCAAGGCGATTTTGTGTATTTTCTTTTTTCAAAGCACCGAACTTCCACTCCTCATCTCTTTTCTTCTTCCTCGAAGCACTGAACTTACATGAAAAAGAAGTCTGAATCCTTCTCCTCTCCTCCTTTAATTTATAAAAACAATTTTCTGCACGATCGAATATAACTGCGTTACATGGAATAATTGCGTTGCAACTTTCAAATGTCATTGGCGCATCATTACTCGTTTACACACACTTGTTTTCTCTAAGAAGATTCTTTTGATTGCAGTCTTGAGTCACATCCGGGAGTATCTAAAAGTCGATATAAACGTGATGTATAAATACCTAATTTTCAGCGGCGACTGGAGCGACCAGCGATGCGTCACCCTGCCCTTTTTCTATTCCTTTGCCGTTTTCCACGGCATCCTCGAATTGGCCTGGTACTGGCAGTGCATCTTTTGTTGCGTTCATGTTTGGAATAGAGTCACTGGCAATACCAAACAAACGTATTCACAGAGACGTATCTATTTTCCGCATTTACAGATACAAAATATATTTACTTGTAATCAGTTACTCCATCGACATTATTGTCTCGCCCTCGGTTGTCTTTTTTGTTCTCGCATTCTTTGTTCTTCTTAACAGGAGCCTTCTTTTTACCAGTTGCCTGTCACAATAATTCACTTTTACTATCTTTTTTTTGAACGAAGCAAAAAAGTTGGGTAGCAAAGATGTCTACCTTCATTTGTGCCTTCTTTCCACGACCTGCGATTTGAGTACGGTTGTTCCCTCGCGTTTGAAACGTGGGCCGGCCCATAGGAGTAAAACCACGAGGGAGACCATACTTGAGACCACCAATTGAAGTCACCTAGAACAATCGCCTTAAAAGATTACACTGAATAGCTCTAATTTTCTCTAACATCATTGTGATTTCTGTCTTCTTGAAGAACACAAAATTTAAGACAATATCTATATTACATTGCATCAATTTATTTATCACAAAACACATTATTATGACCATACAACAAGATCTTTCTGTCATCTCTAATAATTTTCTTTCGAATATCGAACAATATTATAGAAGTAGAGAGTTTTCTTATCGTTTTTTCTCATCTTATAATGTGTAAATTATGCAGCAGGACAGCTTACCTGTGGCGGAAGCCGCCCACGAGGATGCCCCTGTAAAGGCTGAGGTAAACGGCCGGGTTGTCCATAGTTTGGACCCCATTGTCCAACGACAACTCCGGCAATTTCTAGTTGTCCACCACGGGACGGTATTGGACGACGCATTAATCCACGTTGAGGCATAGTTCCGCTGCCTCTTCCGCGCATTAAACCATCGTTAATGGTACATCCGGCGGTCAGAATATTCTGCGGTACTGACATGCGAATACCTACTAAAAAAAAGACGATTGAGTAAAAAAAAAAAAAATTGAACATCATATTAATAATGAAATTAAAAAAAATAAAATAAAATTTATGTAACAGCTCTGAGAGATTCGCAGATCAAATCGTGATACATCAAATCCACGAAGCAATATTACAGCTGTATATTTCTTTCCTTCCATTCTGAAAACATACCATTAAAAGGTGCATGGTATGCTAAAGTATTGGAAGGGAAAAATCGAGAATGACCAACTGGAGATTTGAACTCGGGAGACTTGCTTGATAAAACATGTGTTTTGTCACTGAGCCACAACAGGCTCTAGGATATATTAGAAAGTAAAGAATCTATTGAGAGACGAACCTGGACCAACTGGTGGTGCTCGTGCGAAAATAACGTTGGTACCCTCTAATATAGCTTTTTTCATCCGCTCGACTTTCACGATACGATCTATATGGCCACCACAGAGTTCTAGTAAGTTTTTCGCGATCCTAGCACGAGCTAGCGTGTGATGGAACAGCTTTCCATCGAAATACAACCACGGACAGCACATTAACCATGGAATCGGTGCACCACAAGCGTCATTAGCTAAGAGAGCAGTCTCAACACCGGCCATGAATAAAGTAGCTAATTGTACTCCGCGTGATGTTACTAAAGGAAGCTGCATATTATAGAATATTACAAGAAGATAATATAGAATTTCCATCATAAGCTTTTGATAAAAAAATTATTCAAGTTACCTGGAGATCTTGTAAATACTGAGCGTTCATAAGCTCTGGTGAAAATGCCTGTGCAATGAAAGCATCTAATTCCCAACGGCGTAGAACCTTTATTTTATCCGAAAACGACATGATATATCTGTAATAAAAATAAATAATTAAATAAATAATTTTTAAATTAGAATTTTGAGTCATATAAATTACCTTAATACACAAGCCATAACTAAAAGGTGTTGCGGTACGTAGGAAGTGTTTAACATAAGAGGTGTATCTGACTTCATACAAGTCAAGAATCCTCGTAAACGACGACGTTTGTCATCTATGCCCGTGCTGCGAATGAAGATCTTTTTATGAATCTTTTTATCTTCTATTAAATGCAATTGAAGCGCGAAACAATATACATACCCAAACCACAAACGTTGAATCGTAGGAACACCCCAACCAATTTGTTCCGCTTTCACAGGTTCTGGAGTTATGTATGGATTCGATTTCGACCATACCCACTCCTTTATCACAACGTCTGGGACTTCAATTTTTTCGCTATCTGTTAATTAAGAATAATGTATCTCTGATCTACCTTTTTTAAGGTACATTTAAAGACGTTAAATTTACCTACCTCCCTTCTCTTTACTCTTAGCAGCTAAATACATTCTGTGATGAAGATTGAATAGTATCGCATACACCATTTGCCTGACGGGTCTATAAATAAGATGGATCGATGGGAATTCACGATGATTCTCGTCTTCGAGAAGAACAGGCAGTTTGATCTCTCCGGCGATAAGAATCTGATAAATATGAGGAGACATTAAGCCTTTCTGATGCCGTTCGGATGCGGTACGCATCACTTCTGGCACCGTGCTGGGAATAGTCATCATTTTCTCCGTTTGCTTCGACAAATCAGCCGTCGCGTGAGACGGTGACGTGGCGGAAGAACTGCTGCTCGAGCTGGACGAACTAATTAAAAGATTGTGTGTGCCGTTTATAGCATGCCCATTGTTTTGTTCTTCCTCTGTCCTAATATTATCAGCGTCACCGTGGCCCTGAATTCCCGGTGGATCTATCACAATTTGCGGTGTGGACTTGGCATTTGCAGTAGCTTGCTTGTACGCGTTCAAACTTTCGCGCTCGCTTTCCACAGTTTCGGATGCAAATCTGGATGTTTCTAAATTCGAATCGATCTCGGAGGTTGACGGTGTTTCGGATAAATTCGACTGTTGTTGCACGCTCTGCTTTGAATCCAATTTGTGTACTGAAATAATTGATTCACTAAAACCAAGATACAATAATAAGAGTAATAAAGATTGGAGTAAGAATTTACCTCTATTTGGTTTCACTGGTTTATAATGCAAAAATCCATCTTTAGTTCCATTTATATAATACTGAACCGATTGCCTTAGTTTCGGACACCTCGGATCTGACAGGGATCCAAAAACTTTCTGCGAAACCACATCCAACTCGACAGATGGTAAGTCTCGAACGAAATTAGCTATCGTTTTGATCGTTTGTTCAACGTTCACTTTGTTCAAATTGGTATTGACGTTCAATTTCTTATAAAAATCAGCTAAGTCATGCTCAGTTAAAATATAATTTCCAAGTAACGCGGCTAACAAGCATAGTCTATCGGAAGGGATGTTCAAAGCTTTTAAAAGTTCTGGAAGAATGTACTCCTTGGTGTCGAGAGAGCCTTTGTACGTCAGTTTTAACTGTTCAGACGAAAAATACCGTGGAGGATCGAACGCAGCATACTCCGCGTCATCGGCAATTAAGCCATTAAAATTGTTTTCTCGGCAATATGCAATCACTTCCTGATGGTGGTCATCCATACTACATAGTACTGTAACGTTCAAATGCCGTAGAGCCATACGTAGACTGGTTCTTAAACACACTGGTGGAGTCCACCAAATTTTTGGTGGTGGAGTGCCTTTAGTTGAAATATGTTTTAACACCTGAAAAATGCACAGTCACATGAATATCATCACAATATATACTTCAAACATTTGAATAAATTTATTACTTACGTTGTTTACTTTAATTCGCATTTGTAATTGATTTAAAATCCAGTCTGCGCGTCGAGAAGATTCAAAACATCCATTAAAGAATACAGCTAATTCTAAACCTGACATTTCTGTTGCTTGTATGAGAACAGCTAAAAACTGTAACATTCGGTTCCACTGTCCTCCACAAGCCCAATCTAAATAGGAAATCATATTTCATTGAATAATTTGATATAACATAATATAATAACAATTATGCAGAAAAATATATACATATACCTGAGAAGTATCCACCATATAATCTATCTAAGCAGCATTCTCCGTCAAGGACTAGCCTTAGTTTTCCCGAATGTAACTGTTGTGCCTTACCAACTCGATTATGTTGTCTTTGTGTGATAGTACGTGCTATTTTCAATAGATCCACGGGTACAGATCCACTCTGTACGTAATTACTATCCAAAAAGACTTGCAAATCTTGAATGCCCATTTTGTTCAAGATTTCCTTAGTGACGTACAGTTATTAATTAAGTTTGGTTAACTGATCACGTTAACAATGTTCTTCGTTTGATTTGTTAGACGAGCAAATATTCCTGTTGGCTTTCGATTTTGGATACTTTTAAGATACGAAGAAATCTAATTTCAGTTTCAATAATTTCAACCTGGAATAAAAACATTGTCTATTACTTGCATACCTCTCTCTTTCTCTTTATTTTTGTCTCTGTCTTTCTGATTATTCTTAGGGTTAAAAATAAATCATCCAAGAGCCAATCGGGAATGTGATTTGCAAAATTCATTTGACAGATTGCGCACATGCTTGGTCCACTGAGATTTTCTTTGACAAAAAGAAAAAAAAAAAAAAAAGAAAGAAAAAAAGAAAAAGGAAATGTAATTTCGAGAGACAACTCGAAGAACGCTCGACGATTACATCAACTAGTATAACGACATGGAAATCTTCGAAGTGGAATGTTCGATTCTACACCCGAATCCGGGGGAAGAAACCTTGAGATCGCGGCCTTTGATCAATGGAAACGCTCGGGAACCGGAGATTTGTCACATTCGGGGACACAAGTATGCCGACGCCATTTATTTTGTTTATATGCGGCCATTCCGTATTGTCCGGTTTTCTTTTCCTAGTTAAGCTGATCGATTTCTCCAAGACGATCGTTGATGAGAACGAACGACGGCCAACCATAATTTTCACCGTCGGTTTCTCGGTTAATTGAACGTCCTCGAGAAAGAGAGGCCCTCCGCAGAACCGGCATGGCGAGAACGAGCATCGTTCACCCGCTGTTAAAACTTACGCAAGGAGTTCGTGCGGTTTCGTGACCAGTCTTCCCATACGAACGACACCGCGCGAATCCCCGTTAACGTTACACAGTCGATCGTAGTCCGAAACCAAGGTAGTACTTACGTTAAATTAGCGATAATCATCGTGGCCCCAAAGAAACACAAAACACACGGGCTTTGAGAGTAGGTGACGTCGGATTCGAAAACGGAAATGAGCGCTCGGCCGCGCTCGGATGTCTACGTTGTTTGCCCCGGTTCCATGAGAATCAATTCGCCCATTGGATCGTCCGCCGGAATCCATCGCGTTTACCGGAAGTGGGTAGCATAACGTTGTTTTTAAATGTGAAACTTTCCCTGTTGGGCGGTGAAACCGATTTTATTTTCGCCAGGGATGCGACTCTCAAATGCAGCACCTCGTAGAAAGCACGATCCTCTGAAACTAATAAAAATTAATGAAATTTTACGAAAATCGATAAATTTTGTATGTTGTCTAAAAATTATCTTGTTCGTAAGGTTTTCTTTTATTAGTTCGATAAAGCTCTACTCTTTTATTAGTTCGATAAAGCTCTACTCTTTTCGAAGTGTAACAAGTGGAACTTCTTTTTACGAACGTAACTTAATCGAAATTTCTAAAAATAGTAAAAAATTTTAATTGAAACAAAAATATACAATCGCAAAAAAAAGTCGAGAAACTAAATTAAATACAAATTAAATAAATTAAATTAAATACAAATTTTAATGTCTTGCCGATTGGGATAAATGTAAAAAAATGTCTCAAAAATTCTCTCATTGTTTACGCTAAAGAAAACGTTAAATCGTTTTTGTTCTTTCATTCTTAACAAAAATAAAAATCGAATTTATTTTTTATCAATTATATTCTCCTTGAAATTAACTGGCACTAGTTCTTTTTAAAAAGAAACGTAGGCATTAACGATGTCTGAATAATCTTTTTTTTTTAATATTCTTTATACAAATACATTCATTCGCATCACAAACATACTATATATTTATATATATATTTAATAGGTTCAGTCGGTGATTCCTTTTGCTTTACTTATATAAAAAAAATGGAAGATCAAACGAAATAAATTATGAGAATTATCTTTACCAAAAACGAAACTACAATTGTATCGTGATGAAAAACTTAATCAGCGATAAATCTCTTTTCCTTATCCTTGAATAATTATCATATCCTTTGATGAACGATTGTAATAGTACGGTTACAAAAAACAGTGTGAAAGTGTTGCAAAATATCATCAAAGGATATGATCATTATTCTTCCTTTGTTCTTTTTTTTCCCCTCTTTTTCTATGTACAATAATTCATCTTGCTCGCAACAACCCAGTTGCACTTTCAATGATAATGATCACTATACATTGTATAGCCATACAACTAGAAAATTATAATCTAACGTGTGATACAATTCTCGATTATAATTCATCGTGTTTTTCTTCATCTTGTTCATCTTCGTTCGCATCTATATCCACGACCTTCTCTGACTCTTGTTTCTCCGTCGAGCCGGATTCTTCCTCCTGCAACTCTTCCTCTTCAGGAACTTCGTCTAGAGAAATGCCTAAAGTCTTCCTCATCAGCTGCTCCACGCTGTCGGCAAAACTGGCAGTTTCTCTGAGCATGTAACCAGATCGAAGGGTAGCTGTTCTGAACATCATTAACGCGATATCCTTTGCTGTTTGATCAGTGCTATCAACTTCGACTCTGTGCAGAAGTTCTCTAATAAGCGGATGTCTCGGATTGATTTCTAAGGTCTTTTTCTGGTTCAAGTAGTAATTTTTCTGAGGGTCGTCAGTCTTCTGATGAGCGTTTGAAATGGCCAGTCTCTCCATGTTACCTGTCCATCCGAACATACTAGCAACTAGGGCACACGGCGAGTCCGTGAGACGTTCGGATATTTGAGCCTTACTGATCTGATCCTTTAGAATATCATTCAACCACTTGACCAATGGTTCAAAGGTAGTTTTCAATTGTTCCATCCTCTCCTTGGCCTTCTTCCCCTCGTCAAGTGAGAAGCCTTCCTTAGCTACATTCTGGAACTTCTTGCCATCAAATTCAGGAAGAGCAGAAATGGCATATTCATCAACAGCTTCGGTAAGGTACAGAACCTCATATCCTTTCTTGTCTAATCTCTCTACGAATGGTGATTTTTTCACTTCCTCTTCGGAAGAACCAGCAATGTAATAAATGTACTGTTGATTAGGCTTCATTCGAGACACATACTCTGACAGTGACGTAGCGTCTTTCTGTATGGAGGACTGGAACAATAGGAGTTTGGATAATCTAGCTCTGTTCTGTGCATCCTCGATTACGCCCAATTTGATATTAGTACTGTACTCTTTCCAGAATTTTTCGTAATCGTCCTTGGGAATCTTCTTGATCATATCCAACACCTTTCTAATGAGCTTCTTTTTGATTACTTTGATGAGTTTGTGCTGCTGCAGATTTTCACGAGAGACGTTCAATGGTAAGTCGTCACTGTCGACGATACCACGAATGAAGGACAAATAATTCGGCATCATGTCTGTGAATTTATCTGTGATGAAAACTCTTCTGACGTACAATTTTATATTGTCCGCTTTAGTGCCATAACGATTAAAGCTGTCACTTGGTTGTACTTTAGGGATGAAGAGAAGAGACTTGAAAGTGACTTCACCCTCTGCTACGAAGTGAATCTTTGCTAGAGAATCCTGAGTGTCCTTTGTCAATGCTTTATAAAAATCATTGTAATCTTTGTCCTCTACTTCAGACGGTTTCAGAGTCCATATCGGTTTGGAATCATTCAAAAGCTCCCAATCCCAAATGGTTTTATCAACCTTCTTCGTCTTTTTCTCTTCCTCTGCGTCTTCTACTTTTGCATCTTCCTCTTCGTCCACTTTGTCTTCGGACTCTTCTTTCTTGCTCTCATCTTCCTTAGAAGCTGGAACGTTCTCATCCACATCATCTTCGTCTACCTGAACAACCTTGCTACCCCAGAGATAGATAGGGAAATTAATAAATTGCGAGTACTTCTTTACAAGATTTTTAATGGTATCTTCCTCTAGGAAATCCAATGCCTCATCTTTCAAATGCAAGCTACGATTGAAAATTAAAATTAATGTCATGAATTTCATAAAAAAAGAAAAGGAAGAAAAATATATTATTTTTTATTTACCTTACTCTAGTTCCTCTCTTCAATGTGTCTCCTTTAGGATGTTCTACAATGCTGTAGCTGCTACTATCAGATTCCCAGATATATTGCTTATCGTCATTATGTTTCGAAGTAACAACTACTGTGTGGGAAACTAAGAACGCAGAATAAAAACCAACTCCGAATTGACCAATCATATCATTCAAATCTTGATTGTTGGAAGTATCTTGCATTTTGCTTAAGAATTCAGCTGTTCCTGACTTTGCAATGGTTCCAAGATTGTTGATCAATTCATTCTTGGTCATACCGATACCAGAGTCAGTTATGCTCAATATCTTGTTCTCTTTGTCAGATTTTATCCAAATTGCCAACTCTGGATTAGTATCCAAGACGTTTTTATCGGTAAGTGAAAGCAGTCTGATCTTGTCTAACGCATCTGACGCGTTAGATATCAATTCTCTCAGAAAGATATCCTTATTACGATATAAAGAGTTTATGATAAGTTTCATGATACGATTGACCTCAGTTTGGAACATGAACTTCTCAGCTTTTTCTCGAAGTTCTTTCATTTGAGCAACATTTAATCCATCTAATTTAATTGCTTCCTCCTCCCTTTGGACTACCTCATTATCTGCGAAAATTAAAACAGAACTTATAAGAAAATTTGAAGTCAAAAGTTACTTTAAATGCTCAAACGAAGTGGGTGTCTCATAATTAATGTTATCAGATTAAATTTCCATATGTACATCTGGTTTATATCATAATTATCATAAAAAATTAATCGAAATTGGCAATTGTCGACGTCGACGATGGAAATAACAGAACAAGTATCTCACCAGTACGAGATCCTTCACGGCTGGCACCCAAATCGTTTTCCACGGTTCCAACATCCTCCTCCAAATTCTCCGCTTTAACGAATCCTAAATAATAAAAAGTGCATGTTGATGTTCAACACGTACATTTCAGTATTATCTCTTCATGATTAAAGATTTTTTTTCAAACTCACCTGCTATAAAGAACAGGACCGACAATAATAACAGCGCTTTTTTCATTGCTACCGTGAAAGATTCACAAATAACGGTAGAGAGAAAAAAAAGCGAAACACTACGATCCACTGTTTTATGCCGACTGTCATATAATCTAGCCCGCGACGCTTTGATATAGTAATAGGAGACTGCTGTAAGCCACCAATGAAATGGACCCACGCAATACACATTAACCAATGAAGAATAAGCCGGTTAGAACTCAGTCCAAATGTCTTCTTTCGATTGGTGGATAGAAGCAACACATGGCACTTGCAATTCTAGAATATTCCTTCAAAACTTCTCTGCTTTTTATTGAAATATCAACTGAATAATCTTCTAAAATTGCATTTTTCGATATTAAAGATAATTGAGTCTAAAAACATGGTCGCATTTAAAGAAATGTTCGAAATTTTTTACTTGATTAAGGACTCCTAAAATGTGATCGGTTACCGTCAGAAGATAAGTATGTTGATAACTTATCGATAATTGTAATTGTCGGTAAAATCAATTAAAATTCTTGATCATTTTTTTTATTACCTGTAATATGTAACGATCTTTATTTTTTTTTATACCTGTAACACGTAATGATTACTGTATTAAAAAATGCATATTAAAATTTTAATTTATTCGTATTTATTTGATAGTAAAAATTATAATTTAATAATTATCCATAATGAAAAATATCAACCTATAATTAAAACATATATGTTTCTTTTAAGGTCAAAGTAATATTACATATTATAATATGATCTCATCGTTGATTTCAGATGCAAAATTACTTTCGACACATACATGCGTCGAATATACGTGTATATTATACTGCTTATCATCTTGATAGTAACTACATACATACATATTGTTCAACAGAATGGATCCTTTGAAACAAAGACCGGATATGATCGTTATTTTAGCATAATTACATATTAAAGCAACTTCGAATTACATTAACTTTACTATACATACAATAGAAGTAAATTTATTTTTCTGATAAATAAGTAGAAAGGTGTTCTTCTATTTTTGAGAATCGAAGTGATTGTTTTGAAAAGTAAATTATATTGTTTAGTAGTTAAATATGGAATTCATTAAGGATTTTAATGACAGTAACCATGCAAGAATTATTGACAGGAAATTGGTATGGATGACTGATCACGCGTGAATTTTTTTCTGATACATATGTTGTGACTAGTTGGTCGTTATGGATACATGTTCTACAGACTATCATACAGTTTATATACACGTGAAACACACCTCGTTTTCATACGTGAATGTGTTTTATCTATTCACGTGTGCAATCCAATGTATAGTGTCCACTTACAGAAGGCGCGGATTCGCGTCCGGAGAATCCCTTGTCACTTGCCTTCCTGTTCTCCTCAAAGGAGTTACAAATTCTTTTCGCATCGATAGTTGATCAGAACTATTCTAGAAAACAGTACATGCAGCTTTGATCTTGTCTCCTGAATATCAAGGTAAGTTAAATAAAAATTAAAATAAATAATAAAAATTCCGAATGATCGTGATAGAGGCTATCACTTGAAATTACCAATGTAAATAAAGAAAATTTTAAAGATATGTAGGTGGGAACAATTGCTTACATATTAAAAAGAAATTGCTTATATAATTGCTTACATTTAAAAAAAAAAAGAGAAGAATTAAAATTTTAATCTGGATCATCTATCAATATTTAGATTTTATATTAATATAAACAAAATACATGTAAATCTTTGCAACTTGTTCCAAAAGACGTATTTTTTTCGTATGTCATTGTTTTTGATAAATTATTTCACTGACTTCTACACAAATATCTTTGTCTAATTATTATATTACTCACTTTATTACTCACTATATTACTACTTTTAATACTTTATAGAACATATAGATAGAATAATTTGTATCTATTAGATAGAATAGATAGAATAGATAGAACATATAGATAGAACAATTTGTATCTATTAGAAAAACTGTTGTGTAAAACAAGAAATTGATCATTCAGTGATCAATTGTCTAAGCGCAAAGTTGATCCAATATTTCCTTTCCAGACTTCCAACAGGCACATTTCGAGTTATCGCTCTTTTCTTATTACTTAATTAAGCAAATGAGGGCGGATCCCTCACGATGCCTTTAAGAAAATTAAATTATCGTTTAATTAACAAAACAATCGAAGCATGCATACAGTTGCGTTGCAACTTTATGCGGAGTAAGGAAAAAAGAAAAAAAGGAAAAACAGTGTAACGTAAGCAATTGATGTCAACTCCCACTTCTTCGCCAGTTTACGTTTCCCACCTTTTATCTATTTCTGTCTTTATCGAATCGAAATAATAGATTAGGGACTGATTGTACGGGGCCGACATGCAAACGTGTAACCGATCCAGTGGATAAAACAATAATCCTAAAACAGTCAAGAACTATAGTTGGAAGTTATAGTTTAGTTTTTTTTTTTAAGATAATCAGAAAATCGAAGTGTTGAATACAGATTTGCTGTCTCTTTTTCAGATACCTGAGTCATAGCCATGAGTCATAGCGTGGATTTCTCTTTCAGGGATGTTCTTTAATAGGCCGCAGAGCGCGACGACCAGACAAGAGACTGAAATGATCAATAAGGCCCAACGGGCCCTGTACAACACCACGGATTCCATAGAAAAACTTCGTTTGCTCTGTCTGGCAAGAGGTGCCAATGGCATCCTTGGCTTGGGCAGGTAAGTAAACACAGCTTCTCTTTTATTTCATCGTGCACGTATGATCTAAAATTCGAAATTCATATCAGAACAATAATTCTTTTTTTTCACATGAGGGAGTATTCAGTATAAAAAAAATCCTTGTACAAATTGCTACAAAATTCCAGGGAAATATAATTTATTATATTATAGCGTAAGTCAATTTATGTAGAACTTTCCGTCGTATGGACGACGATGGAAACAAAAAGTTGAATCTGGAGGAATTCACCAAAGGCCTCGAGGAGGGTGGCCTGGAACTTCCGGAAGAAGATATCCAAGACATGTTCAACAAATTCGACACGGACAACGATGGGAACATCAGCGTTGACGAGTTTATCGTTGGCATAAGAGTGAGTGACTCATTTTCTTAAATAAGATGCTTCAATAAATTATTAACTAGATTATTAAGAGAGAAAAAAAATTTCTTTCTAGCCTCCGATGTCTCAGAGTCGCAAAAACGTGGTGGATCAGGCCTTCAAAAAGCTTGATAAAACTGGCGATGGAGTAATCACGGTCGATGATTTGAAAGGAGTTTACAATGTCAAGTGTCATCCCCGTTACATCAGTGGTGAAGAGAGCGAAGAAAGTATTCTGAACAAATTCCTGGCGAATTTCGAGCAGAATAATACCAGAGATGGCATTGTGAGTATCTTCTTATCTTTATCAGAAAATTTTTAGATAATAATTGATAACATGATAAATAAACAGTGTATTTTCATACACATTACGAGTATTTACAAATTGTACGCAAAGCATTTTTGTACGTTTAAATTTCGCATAAATGTGATATAAAAAACAAAAGAGATTGCCTTACTATAGCAATTCAGTCGGTCAATCTAGAAAATGATAAATATTACTCTGAGCGGATTACAGCATTCACAATTCTTATTACAGGTTACCGAAGAAGAGTTTATGAACTATTATAGCGCCATCAGTGCAAGTATCGATCACGATGCTTATTTTGATTTAATGATGAGAAATGCATATAAACTTTGAATTCTCACACGGTCTTGTAACAAGCAGTTCCTCCAGTTTAATTTCCAGTTTTAAACTTATGGCTTTCGATATCGACCTGTGAAGTGTTCATGCAACTGGTAGTAGCCAATAAAACATTCATACACGCAAACCCTAGACAGTTTACGGAATACAGCAATCTGGCTTATGTAATAATTGATGGCTATTAACTTTGCTTACTGGTCGATTTTCGCTCGATGAAATTAATCGATGACAAAGGTCCACTGGGAAGAGACCGGAAAAATAACATTTATTTCTCGACGGAGATCTTGTTCTTCTCTCATATCTGTTGCACCACGATCTAAAAATATTCCTCATGATTCTTGAATCTTGTATATAAATTTAATTGACGTTAATTAGTGTTTATAATAGAGGAGGTATTTATGTACACGCCGCAAATACATGATTGTCTTTCTCGATTAAAATGTTTGATCCAGTTTGAGAATCACTGCGCCAATTTGACTATTTATATGTAATACACGACCATCTGTGAAATGTGTACAAGCCTAGCTTGTACATAACACAGAAGCTTGGTTACAGGGTCCAATATAGTGAAACAAGCACGTATACTCATATTGTAAATTTATGTATGTATTTCTGTATGTGTCTTTTGAATACAAATTTCACCTTCCCAAAATCCTAATATCCAATTTCATGCAATATAATTTTTAATCATCAATGGTCTTTTTCAATTTCAACCCTGTAATGAAATATATTTCAAAGTACAAGACATATATTTTAAAGTATAGTATAAAATTGAATACTTAATATTTAGTTAAGAATCCTTATAAGAATACCTGAGTTACGCAACACGATTTTCTCCGGTTTTCTGCATACATTTAATCCAGTACCTTTTAAAATACTTCAATCAGGAAGATTCTCTTTTCTCGCAGAAATATTTTCCATTTTAATATCGATAGATCATGATTTTATTTCGTTTTTTTATCATAAAGGCAATTAAATTATAGAGTGTCATTGCGATAATTATAATATTAACTTAATAAAGTTATAATAATTTTCATAAAGTATAAAATATATATTGCTAAGATTATGTTGTATTACAAATTATAATTGTTGTATTAGAAATTATAGTTGAAAAAAAAAATTTTGCATCGGCCGGGAATCGAACCCGGGCCGCCCGCGTGGCAGGCGAGCATTCTACCACTGAACCACCGATGCTACATAAAATATCATCAAGTATTATGTATTTAATGGTTCACTATCAAATAAATTTCATTATAATTCAATTTTTTGCTTTAGATTATTTTTCATCAATATTGTTATTACTTCGGTAGTTAGATGATACTATTCCAAGATTACTGAAATTTCATTCATTACAATCACAACTGGGTCTTCTATGTGGTATAGAAAAGGGAAAATTTATGGCATCCTCAAATACTATCGCTTTATGTTCTTTGAACTCTGAATGACGAAAGCCAGACAATTCTTCCAAAAATTCTTAACTTGACGTTTTCTTACAAATACGATTAACTAATCTTTTTGCAAATAAAAAGATCAAACAATAGTTATGTATAAAATCTTCATCTTGAAAATATACCCGAAATCAGTGATGCGTATCTTATTTTAAATTATTAGAAATAGTAATAAAATATAATATATTGCAAAAATTGTAATTAAAATTAATAAAAAAGAAAAATTTGCATCGGCCGGGAATCGAACCCGGGCCGCCCGCGTGGCAGGCGAGCATTCTACCACTGAACCACCGATGCTCTGCGAAAGATGATGAAATATTTGCAAAAATTCATGTAATATGACCTATTTTTAATTTATAGTACAATTTAATATAAACCGATACTGCATAATATCTTGTCATTTTAAAACCACTACAATATAATAGAATAATTATACAGGAATATAACAGAATAGAGTAGTTATACAGAAATATAACAGAGTAATTTTATTATGTTATAAAGATAGCACAAAACGTTATATAGTAACTGTAAGAAAATGTTCAAACCGATCATCTGGTTTTCGTCATTCATCACTAAGAGAAAAAAAAGCGATAACAGATAAAGAGTTTCACTTGTAATTTTACAGGGTTTATTTGTAATTTTCTTCTAAATCGAATATCTTGGCTGTTAATTATATTAATCTAATTTTGAATCATCATTTAATGTTCTAGTTGTTTCTACAATGTATATGTACATATATATTTCATATTTTTATGAAAATAAAAGAAATCTGGATATATATAGGTTATAAATAGATAATGCTTTTTATTTGATAATTTTTGTTTATAAATTATGTACAGTCTTACATAACTAACATCTAATTTAAGCCGATAAACAACAAGTGACTGTTTAAGAAAAAAAATAAAGCTTATAAAGCGAAAAAAGAAAAAATAACATGCAAAGATGAAATGTAATAATAAAACATGAAATAAAACAAAAATTTAAAGGA